CTTAACATGAGCTGTGGCTTGGACAGATTCGCAAGTCGCGCTATATGGAGGGTTTATGAATCCTTTCAACAGACAGACACTCGCAGGTCGCCCCAAGAGGGACAGACTCTCGCAGGTCGCAGTTGCCTCGACCCCGGGCGCTCGCGTCTCCGCTTCCGGTGTCAGCGGACGTGGCTCGGAGGCAGCGCGCGCGTTCTTCGGGCTTCGGCTCGACGATCGCATCTTGCAGATGCTCAGCTAGCAGCTAGCATCAACCTTTCTAAAGCATGTGGATACCGGAAGAGGATCTAGCTTGATATATACTTGAGGTATTGCTTCACAATGGAGTATCATTTGCATCTTTGAAAGACCCTTCCGCAGTGACACTTCCCGCCTTCGAGAAGGAGGTTCCGGAGACCATGGGCTCCTTCGTTCGGATTTCTTCGACTCCTTCGACTTCCATCGACTTCCATCGGTCCCTCTTGATGGGGTTGAAAAGGACTTGATGCATTTCCCGGGTCGTTTGTGTTGGTCAAACGCACCTGGAAGAGGTCGTGACACGGGACCATCTGGTTCGAGAGCAGAAGTCACTGCAGGCCAGCGACGTAGGAGTTGTGAAAGGAGAGTGCCCAAAACCAGTTTACTTGATTTTAGGAGAGGTTTTGATTTGGGAGCGCGAGCGCCCCAGGCGACCGACTCTTGAATCACCACCAAGTTGTGAGCATACACGACTAGGACAAGAGTTTTTCTTCTTGGTTCCAAAAGGATATCCCTTTCCCCGTAGAATCCTGCAAGTCATTACTTTCACTTGTCGAATTTCCTCCCTCCAAAGCCGTTTGAATGCTATACAGTTAAAGGGGTGGCAATTGGACATGGACTTCTTAAATCGACCGCAGCTGATGCACATAGATGTGGTAAGACGCGGTAAGACCAAATAAAACTTTCTTCCTTCTGAAGTATCACTTGTCTTGATTCTTCTTGAGTTACATTTCCGGCGGGATTTCGGGACTGCCCACTGCCTGCGTTTGTCGTGAGTAGCTTTCTTGCTTTTGGGCGATTTGGTCTCCCCTTCTCTGTTGTGACAAACCCAAGCGGATGGCAGGGTCTTCTGAATTCGAACCCCTCCAGAGCCGAGATTCCAGATTCGATAGCCTATGGTCCCCTCCACCTCTTCATCTCCCCAATCGATTCACTTTGGCGTGACGAAACATCTGGCCGTGACGACCGACTCCTCCAAGGCCACATCTATGTGGGCGCTGCTCGGAAGCAACATGCGATGGAAGACGATTGCGGACCTCGACGGTTAGGGATGTTGGGAAGCAGATCATATGGGTGGCTCAAGAAAGATCTAAAGCACACCTGGTCTGCTGGGGGGTCTTTGAAATTCGATGGACATGCACTTTTTAGGGGTTGTGATGTTGAAAATGCTATGCAGGAAGGCTTGGGATGCTGAAGATGCTGGGTGGCATCGTGAGCAAAACAAAAGTGGAGGGTTGGTAGTAGGAGCAGGAGGTGATGGAGGGATTTGCAGGTGGATTAGGGTAAGCTCGCTGGTGCGAAAGTCGATGACTAGAGCATTGTGCCGCAGTCGTTTGCTTTGTAAGGGGGTACTGGATGACGACCCATTTTCTTGCTTTCGTCATTGATGTCAACAATTGGATGGAGTAGGTCCAGAGCCAGATATGCTGGAGATGCTTAGACTTGGCAGCGAGAGTTGTGCTCTTTTTCTAGCTAATGGTTTCCTCCATGCATGTTTCTGTACGCCCTACGCATTGTGCGTGTCTCGGAAAGTCGCTTAGGTTGGTGGCACGCCCAGCGACATGTTTGGAACTCGATCCCATGTGTGAGAGGGAGAGAGTGAGAGTGGGAACGAAACACAGCTTTGTTTCAGCAGCTTCCCTCCGATGTTAAGACTTTGACTTCCATTGTGGCCATGTTGGAGGCTCCCCACCCCGGCGTCCTGGGCGTGGTCCTGGGCGTTCGCGTTGGCGAGGTCCTGGATCAAACGGCAGGAGGAGCTCCTGGGCGTTCGCTACGTCCCCGTGCCGCTGGGACCGGGAGACGGAGACGCGGACGTGACGGGGAGCTCAACGAGGATGAAGACGTTCGTGGCACGGGGAGTTCCAGCAAAAAGGGGATCCAATGGAGCCAATGTTTGCTGGAGACTTCCGTGTGATGGGAAAGGCTTGGAGAGCTTGCATTTCTTGGATCATTCAACAATATGTGGTCTAAAATAGAAGTCACTTACTTCTGAGTCCTCAGGTCAATGCATCATTCCCTCCAAAAAGGCACCTGATAAGTGATTCCCGTGCCCACGACCTCTGGGCACCCTCGGCAGTAGCGGCCTTGCTGAGGATGGTCCAGCCTCATCCGATTTGGGCACCTGGGCTTCGGACCCTCGCGCAGGTGGCTCTGAAATGAGGGAGGAACGAAACCCTTGGAGAGGCCGCTGCACACAAGGTCCATGGCCAAAAAGTGTCGGTTGCCCGTCGTTGGGATGGTGTCAGATAGGTGACCCGCGTCACTGATCTTTTAGATAGGTGACCTGCCCCAGCTGACGACCAAACGTTGCCAGGCCACAGGAGGTGCCTTTTATCCCAACGCAGCGCCTCGGCTGAGCTGGTGAAACGGAGCCACAAATGCCGGTGTGGCCGTGGTGCGGTGTAGGGGTGTTTTTCCCTTAGGGTGCCCAAGCCATTTTGTTGGGGATTCGTGTGTTGACTCAGACCCTCTTGAGTTACAAGGTTGCGCAAGTAGGTTGTAGGCCATCGCAAGTAGGTTGGAGGCCATCGCTACCAGTAACTAGACGCTACTAGTAACAAGGTTGATGTTCGGTCCAAACACTCAGGTCTTGGGAACCGGTGAAGCGAGTTCCCCTGCCTGCCGCGTATTACAATGTGATTTGTACCAGGGCCTTCAAGGGGTGGTTCATGGACACCCCGAATCACAGTTCAGGGGCCAAAAATAGACACCCCTTGGAGGGTCCTACACATTGATGTGGGTACACCTGTACTTTCTGGAATAGGAGGTATGCTTTTTTGATCCAAAGACTTCCCACTTCAAAAGCCTCCTTTCAGCAACTCAACGTCTCCCGCAGATTATTGGCGCCGCACCCTGGTAGGTTGACGGAACTCATATGGAGACTTCCCCTATCACATGGAGACACGGGCCTTAAGGAAGGCGCCCACAACAAGAAAACACCGACACGGCGGCCTAGGTTGACCTCCCTGGCCAGTCGTCTAGATAGTCCGTTGGGGTCCTTCGGTGCCACCGCCAGAGCTGGCCGCAGCTGATCCGCGACCGCGAATTCCCAAGGCTTGGACCAAGGATGGTGTGAAGATGAGGTGCAGACGACGGATTCCTTTGACGGAACGACGAGTTTCTTGTAGACTCGCGGGATCTTTTGTAGATTCCTTTGTAGACCAGGCCTAACCGGACAGGCCTCCCAGTTCGCATGCATCAGTAGCCCCACATGGTGTTTCTTTCCGATGTCCAAGACCTGCAAACGACGTTTTCTCTCAACCCTTCTACTCCGCCGAGTCAGCCCAAGCCGAGTCGAACGCTGCCACGCACTCACGGGGGGCAGGACTGACTCGTTTGTCCTACGAAGACATCCCGACAGCCCAATCCCTGCAAAGTTGTTGAATCCACCGCCCGACAAGTGGAAAGGGTCCGGACAGGGTCGCAGCTTTCGTATTTTTCAGGTGTGGTTGATGGAGGACCCAGGATGTTGAGGTTCGTTGGAAGATTCCACGAGGTTTGTCACGGGACCCTTCCTGGAGTTTTGCGTCGGAGAGTTAGATATACAAGCCTTGTAGAGGAGGGGGATCTTCACGAATCTTCGTGGAACTCATCTTGGACCATACCGGACATACCGCAGGTTTTTCATTTCCACCACTCTGAACCGTTCCATTTTCGCTTCCACAACTCATTCCTGGCGCATGCGGGCGAGGCTCAATGTGGCCTCGCATCCCATCTTTATGACCGGCCTCGACAGCGTCTTCCACGTGCGTGGCCGCCACGATACGCCCGGGTCTCAGACGAGGGTCCAAGATCCAAATCCAAGTTTTCGAACTTCCGGAAGACATCACTCGCTAAGGAAGCTCTTTTCTAATTGCGAAGGCCTCCAACCTACCAGCGATGGCCTCCAACCTACTAGTGATGGCCTCCAACCTACTAGTGATGACCCTAAACCCTAAACCCGGGTCCTAGATCTAACAAGCAGGGATGGTTGTGGTGGTGGTGGTGGTGGTGGTTGTGGTTGTGGTTGTGGTTGTTGTTGTTGTTGTTGTTTGTCGGGTTTGTGTAAACTTACTAGTTTAGTAGGCTACTTCATTTGGGAAAGGAGGTGGCCTACCAAGGTGGCAGTTTCGAGGAACCTGTTTGTGATGTCCCATTGTGTTCATGCCTTTGCAATCCTCTAAATATTTTTTTTTGCAGCGAGTTTGGTAGTCATCCACCCAAACAGAGACCACTATGTGCCCTCCCTGCATGTTGAATTTGCTCTGCTCTACAAACCTAACCAAGAAATTCCATATCCCTTTTTGGAACAACTGTGGCAGACTTATCTGATGTTACTGATGTTTTCTATACAACTTGCATCATTTGCACTTTTACCTTTCATCCCACCAACATTTCCAACAACTCGCCCAATTTGCAATAACAGCCAGTTTTGCCGTGTTTTCTTGCATCAGCCATTCGGCTCCAAGCTGATCGAATAGATTAATTCCTGATCAAATGGTGGATGGAGACACACCAACAAACATGACATGCAGAACATCACAGTTTTGGATCCTGTTCTGGCAAGTTGGCATGAGTCTGCGTCGACTAGCAGTCTTGACATGACTTGGGAAGTTGTTGCCCGCACATCGTTGCACTGACAACAACACACTAAGAGAGAACATTTTGCGCCCAGAGGCCAATCCACTTGGAGGATGTGATTGCAAAACCTCGCCGAGTGTGTTTGAATTTGTACCCTGATTGTCCCCACAAACAAAGCAAACAACCATGTTCGCCACGAGTTTGAGGGTCAAGCTCGTTTGCCTGCAGCTGTTTGCGCCTGGCGCGGGGGGGAAGTTCAGTGCACTACCTGGTGCAACCCCCTCAGCATGCCCGAGCCCGAGCCCTTGATTCTCCCCGAGCGCAGCCCTGAGCCTTGGCGAAAAGCACCGGGACCCAGACCTTCCGTGGTTGATCCCGGTGAGCACATATGGACCATGAGGGGGTACCTAGTACTTAGCCTGATTGGTACTGGGGAAGGAGTATTTCCCAGAATTGCGATGCCAGAAATCCTGGCACTCGTACGCTATTCTGCCATTTGGACCCCTGCATTTGTCCACCATTGTGTCATTGTACTTCTGAGCAAACAGGTTTAGTGGTGTACACTCAGATTTGTATGGGTGCATGGTGTTGATAATGCGTTGCAAAATGATGGCATCACATGCATTTCTTTTGTACTGTACTGCTTGTTAGTGCGATAGCAGACCACAGAGAAGTTGAGAGAAGAGCTGGTTAGTGCAACGTGTTGAAGTGGTTTGAGTACATTTTTGGTGCTTGTGACGTGCTTGGCACCCTTAGTGCATCGACTCCAGTGACGTCCAGTGACTCGAGGATGTCGACCATTGGCTTCGTTCACGACCTCCCAAGAATTTCATGAATTGGCCTATGAACCTCGTCATAACCAAAGGAATCCCTCCGCCACTCGTTTCCCCTCCTTCTCCTGGCCACCTCTTCCATCCTCTCCGAGGACCGTGCTTTGAAGGGCCTCATCCTCAAGGTCCTTCGGCGCCTCACCGGCCCCTCCACCGTGGCCTCGGCCTTCAGCGCCGAGCCCCCCGCGGGTTCCTCCGCGCCGGCGGGTTCCTCCGCGGGTTCGGCCGAGCCGGTTGAGCCGGTGGGGCCGGTGGCGGCCACGTGGCAGATGTGTTTGCGCGTCTTGGGCGTGGACCGCCGGCTGCAGACCCGAGCTGAGATGTCGCTGGGCTGTTTGAGGTGGTGTGACTGGTGGGAGATGGAAGGATGGGGATGGATCGATTGGTTCGATTGGTTCGTCTTTTGGTCGGTTGAAGTCCAACAGCGATGGCAGCTGGTGTCTCTTCGGTGCAAAAAACGGATTTTGAATGAACAGACTATTGGAGACCAGATTCGATCAGATCTTTCAAGCCAACAAGCAAGGCGAAAGTGGGCAAGTTGATGGTTGATCCTCGTCAATTGCTAGGTGGTTTGGTGTTGGGACGTCAGTTTCGTGCAATCCGCAAGGTTACATCAAGCCCTCATCGACCTGGCTTTGACCAAGGAGCAGCAAGAGGCTGGTATTAAGGTGGCCCTCTTGAGGTTCCCTTTCTCGTGCTCTCCGACTTCTGGAGTCGGGCAGCTGCGACCGGTGAACAGAATGGGTTGGGTGAAGTCTGCAGTGTACCAAGAATGGTGCAACAAGAGGAGGGGGAAGGTTTTGCGGGGAGGTGCAGTAAAGTGGATGCAATTTTGGTGGGTTGGTGATGCAGACGGTGATGAATGGATGAGCGCATCATTTGCATCATCAAGGCAAATGGATTAGTGTAATTGTGTGTCGAATGTTTGGGTGACTACTCAGACGACTTACTGGTTCACGGTTTTAACTTATGAACGTCAATTCCAAGATGCGGCCTTTGGCGGGTGACGGTGCAGGGGTGGATGAGGAAGCTCTTTGAGTCTCATAGGCTTCCTGTGGGCCCACATGCCTCAATCTACAGCCCAACAAAGAGGACTCATTCACAAACTAGGTTGAGGACCAGATCTGCTACATCCGTTCATCCAAAAGAGAACAGAAAGGTCATTTGAGTCACCTCCACAATCCCTTCGCGTTCTTTGGCGGCAACCTGCAGTTGTATCTAGAGACTCCATTCACCCCATTCCATTCGTCTAAAAAGTCTCAAACCAATCCTTCAGCCAGGAGTCACAAGTCGGGGTGCTGTGGCTCGTCCCGTTCGAACGGCTCCCCGACTTCCCTTTGTGACAGGTCTTCGAGCGAGTGCTCGCCTGCAACCTGCGCTTCTACCAGATCGCCGTGGAGGGCAGCTTGGACGGTCGACCCCCCTGGCGGCGTCACGTGGCGCGGAGGCCCAAAGCGAAAGCGCCACGGAGGTTCCAGCGAACGGGCGACGGCCATGGGGGGTGAGAGGCTTTCTTTGGTGCGAAGTCATAAGGGCCAAATACCCTGGTGACCTGGTGGACATCTCTTTTGGAGGAATCTGTTCATTTGATCCGCGCAGCAAGCAGGGTGTCCGGGGTTTTGACCCATCATATGGGACTGACGAGTTGAGTAGTTCTGGTCGTTCTGGGACTGCGGTTGCGCGGCTCCGGTGTGGGTGGGACACTTTTGCAAACAGCTGCGTTTTCACGGCATCAGTCCTGCGATGTGGGGATTGACGGAGGTAAGTTGAGACTGGCAATTTCTCCAGAGCCAAGTGCGGGTTTGGGGATAGGAGCCAATGGCTCTGATGGCCAGCTTGCTGTCCGCAGCTGTTTTTGGCTCCACACCCAGTTGGGGTCCTTCTTAGAAGGCTTAGCCAAAGGTTAAGCCCCGAAGCTGTTGCGACGTCACAGCCAGTGACGTTTTTTCCTCCACGATGGCGGTTCGTGTGACCCGATGGGCTACGCCCTTGCCGGAACCCGTGCCTCAACCCATGTTGCTGGCGCTGCACTTGTCAGCCACAGGCAGCACGTGGGAAGCTCCAGTGACCTGGCTGGGAACTTCCATTTTCCTCCGAAGTTATGAGGCCGCTAGCGCCTGCAAAGAAGGCTCCACTAACAAGCCCTGGTGGAGATGGCGGTTGGTCTTTAAAAGACGAGAACATGTTTGCCGCAAATTGGGACAGCCACATTGTTCGACCAGCGGATCCCATACAGGTCCAGCTCGGGACACACTCTAAGAAACGCCAACGATCCGCGAAATCTATGGGTTATCCATCGATCCTCTATCCACATCCAACCGAAACTCCTAGGCCTTGAACTCCTCTAGCTCGGTCCTCGCCCTGGGCCTTCTCGCTCCTAGCCTCCTGCGCCGCGTGGCGCAGCGCCTGCGGGCGCCACGGGGCGCGCGGCGCCCACGAGCTTCGCTCACCGTGTGCGGGGCGCGGGGAGGAAGCGACGGAGCTGTGCAAAGGCGGCCACGACGACCGCGCGAGCTGCGTGGGGGCGAGCTGATGAAGACGTATAGTTCCTGGAGTGGTTCTAGTGGAATCCAACAAAGGGAGATGTAATTCACATTGGTTTTGGCATGTTTTGGCAAACATTTAAAGGAATTATATATATACACGGATTATTCGATCTTATTCGAACTTAAGCATGGCTGCTGGCTGGCAATCTTTGATCACACAAAAGTACAGGTACAACATGCTTGTGCCAAGCCGATCTGTGCCCAGTTGGCCATGTTTGTTTCCAATTCAGAAAAGGATGCGTTGATCACCTGCAACTCACTAGAGCTACCACCAAAAAGCAACCGGCGATGTTTTTCTCACTGTTGCCTTTCGCCCGTCTCGCACGTGCCCGTCTTGCGCCGCTGTGAGCCTTGCTGTCCTTCGACCAGGGTGTCCGGCGTCGAGCGCTGGCTGCCGGACCTCTCCAAGTTCTCCTCCGAGATGCTCCGAACCTACGCTCCTCGTCCGGCGAGCGCTCGAGCGGTGCCGGTGCCGTTCGGAAGGACGCGCGAAAGAGTGCCGTTCGGTGGGACGGAGAGGACGGAAAGCAACGAAGCAAAGAGACTGCAACGCTTGTTGGGGAGCGGAACGAGCGGAATAGCGGCCTTTTGGAGGGTTTCGATGTCTTCCTTTGGGTCGTTGTTCTGTGAACAGCACCTGGCGTGGTTTGATCGGATGAGAGTAGGCCTATTAACCTTTGTTCGCAGAAGGATTGATCTCGGGTCGGCGCAGTTTTTGCGCTCCGACAGGGCAAGTAAGGTCGATGTTAGTCGGCATGATTGGTTCCAACAAAACCTTGAAAAGCGAAGAACGAAGTACGACGAATCTGCAATTGGCTCATGTCTGAATCTGCAATCCATTCCGTTGGTCGAAGAAGTTACAGTAGATCCAGAAGAGATCATTTTGACAGGGAAGAAGGGATCGCCCTGTGCTTTTTTCAGAGAGGGTCTTTGAAGTGGTAGTGACTGCAGCGCTTTGTGTCAACTTCGACTGGGAGCCCTTTTTTGATCATTATTGAACTAGTAGGCGGCCAAGAGTAAGAGGCAGACTGATAAATGTTAGGTGCCCTGAAAGATTCGGGAGGAAAAAGGACTTGGGGGGAAGTTGTCGCATCTTTTGCAATCCCGTTTGGTTTATCCTTCCAGCTTTCCAAGCCTTTCAAGGGCTTTTCTCCATTTGTCGCTGGCTCCGCATCTCCCAAACCGCCACCAACGCGCGGCTCCGCCGAACGCTGAGGTTGGCGTTGGCATTTGTACCTTGCAGGAAAGATGGGGAGCTGGGCAGCGTCGATGCCCTTGTCTTTGTGTTGGTCTTAGATGCGCCACACACGACCACCTGGCAGGAACTATATATTGTCTACTTTTTCGCCTCTTTTTCATTGGTCTTGAGGCTTCCAGCCACTCCCAAGCAAGATCAAGCACCAACGGGGGGGCTCACCTTCGATTCTTGGGTCGTTTTTGGGGCAGCGACTTGTTGGGGGGGGGGAAGGTATGGCTGCCTTCCGTGGCAAGATCCACGGAAAGAGCCTTGGTCCCCTCGTCCCAAGTATCCGATTTTGAAGTGGGGGGAAGTCTCCGATTCTCTCTCGAAGCTGGTTCTGAGGCATGGGATCCTTCTTAGCGCCTTGGCACATCTTGCCGGTCTTCCTGGACATCAAGATCGCGGCCGACCCGACCCTGCCTGGGTTGACGCCCAGATGAAGTCACAGCAGAATCGGGGTGTGTGACGCAAAGATTGAATGGTTGGGAAGATGACTCTCCTTTACAAGAGGGGTGCTACATGATGCTACCAGATTGTGTGGTTCATGCAACATGTGCTCGACATGGCTCAATGTATCTCAAATGCTAGATTCCCAGCCTTGTTATCCATATACGGAGCCTTTCACACTCTTTCAGGGCTTCCCTCTTTTCTAATGGAAGACACTCTCTAGCTTCTTCACCATTCCATCCCTTGCCAGCCTGCCTCTAGAGATTGAACCTATAGATGATCACCCCCCCAAAAAAGCCTTTGGGAGCACCTCACGACACTGTCGCTCTCTTCCCAAACACCCATTCACACTCCGCCTCCCAGTTCCCTCCGCCTACTCCTCCGCCTCTGCGGTCGCCTCTTCCACCGCTTCTCCTCCGCTCGGAGGACGGAGCAGACGCTGCCGCTGACCATGACGGCCATGTTCCTCGGGTGGCTCGTGGGCTCCGTGGCCCTGCACCGCGTCATGGAGGCGCGGAGCGCCGCGAGAGCGACACGGCGCGGAGCGCCGCGAGCTTCACCACACGGGGCCGTGCCGGGAAAGGTGTGTGTTTATTGGTTGGGTCTCCAAGGACTCCTCCGAAGTGGGTAGGGATTCTTTTGGACCTCAAGGACTCGGGATTTGGGGATCTCTTTTTTGTGGGATCTATTTTTTTGTTCTTTCCGTTTTGCGGAGCAGGTTTGGTCACAGGTTTCGATGGGATTCTCATGACAGCCATGGTAGGTATCATTTGCTTCTGAGATAGATCCCCGTTCAACACAGACTTGCCGTTGTGTCTCCTCTCTTTATATACAGAGCTGCCTCCAATCCTGCCGAGATCTTCAACAAAGAGCAGATCCTGGTTGGCGGAGTGTCAGGACAGCTCGCTTTTTGCCATGCCTGGCTGCACGGTTTCTAGATGATGGGAATGTGAGAAGTCATCACCCAGAGAGGATCAAACTGTCTTGTGATCATCCTTAGAGTTGAACAAACTATAATGCTACTGCTAATGGTGCAGTCCCCGCTAGAGGAATCACTCTCCCAACGTTTCTTTATCCTTTCAATTTTGTCCAGTGATGTGCAGACCCCTCACGACAGTGCCTGTTTTCGCAGGGCTTTTGGCGGTGGCATTGGCCACCGTGATTGTGCCACTGGGCGGTTCGAGTCGACGGTGTCTCAAAGGAAAGGAGTCGGAAGGAGGAAGTGGAGGAAGGTAATCCCCAATTCGTCAACCCGATCCACGATGGCCGAGGGTGCCTGGAGTAGAATGCCAGAGCCACCGGACCTTGTGAACCCTCCAAGGCCGGACCTCACGGGTGGGGACGTCGTGCTCTTCACCCTCTTGCGCTTCATCTACGGCATCCTCATGTGCGCTGACGGAGTGGTGTGGGAGGGGGGGGCCATCAGCTGGTTGGAAGCGGTGCTTCTTCTCAAAAACGAACAGAAGAAAGGATTCTGTGCGGAATCGGAGTGTTTTTAATCACCGGTGAGGGGCATGACGTGAGTGGTAAAAATCTTGGAGGTCTCCAGTGCCGCCCCAGCCTCTGTTTTTTGGGGTTTAATTTTGGTTCACCATCCAAGATGTTGATGCCCCTTCTTTCTTTGCTGTGCACTCCCATCCCGGCCTTCTTCGAGGAATATCGTGGCAGTCCAATGCGTTCATGTCCAAGAGACGATGCCCGAGGGCCGTGGCAATCAGGCCGCCGGTCGACCGTGTGTCCAGGGGGTTCCATCCGGCTGAACGGAGTGGTACGGTGATGGCTGAGTGGGGTGCAATCAAAGAGTAGTGGGGTGGAAGATAAAGGCAGATGTTGGGACCCGGATCTGCTTCATTGGATCACCGCTTCTTAAGGTTCGTGCGGAATCAGGGTATAGGCTTGATCTTTGGGTCGAGAAGCAGAAACCCAAGACGGCCAGCCAGGTGGTTGGGCTTCTCCCATCAAATCGTTATCAATCCGTCTTGTTTCATCTTCTTAAAAGCTCCGTGGTTGGAGGCCATCGCTATTAGAATCCAAACAAGGACCTTTTGAATTAGCTTCTGCTTGGCACCATCTGGGCACCTGCTCTGAGCCACGCTGTGAGGCCTTGGTGGGGACCAGCGTCATTTATAGCGTGATTGCCATCTTCTTGGCAGGCTATCCTTGGTGTCAAAGACTGGAGTGACTACAACCTGAATGGACAATCAGT